AGTTTACAAAGAAACTCCTACTGTTGAAAGAGATTGTTTGTTCAGACAGATACTTACTGGAATACTTCCAGTTGGGCTGGCATGGATTTCATCCACTCCATGGTAACCATTTGTAATATCACATATGCAGTAGTTGCTGACAGAAGGGGGCCTGAAGGTGTGACCTCCTTCACAGTCAATCTCTGGGCTGATCCCACAACCAAAGGTGAAGGAAGCAAGGGAGTGGTAGTGTGTGAGGAGAACGACCGCGTGGATCAGCTCTGCCAGGGACCAGCTGTTCTCTTCAGTCTTCAAAAGTTGCTTTAAAAATAAAGCGAGACAAAAGGATTAAAGTCATTCACATGATCCCACCTTAATGCAGTTTATCAACACGTTTCTTTACCAGGTAAAATTATTTTTCCAACATCCAAACTTGCTTCCTAAGTCTCTGCTGCCATTAGTGTGCTCAGTGTCCTGTTACCAAGTGACCTGCCAGACACAGACTCCATAGTCAAGCCACAAAGGAGACAACTTCTCTGCCCTCTCTGTCCCTGAGCTATTGGATCCGTTCAGGCTTCTCTTTTACACCACGTGGTTTGTATCAAGACCAGACTGGCTTGCATTGAAACTTCACACCTCTGATGAAGATGCAACCACAAGTCGCATGCATCTTCAGATGGTCTTTACAGCATCAGAAAACCCTGGCAACTCCTTGTGTGAGCACCTGGCATCAGGGCCAGGCTCCCTCCATCTTGTCCCTGTGGGTGGAATGCTCTAGATTTGACAAGAAGCTTCAAACCCCAACTTCCCCTTCAGACAGGAAAGTGTGGGAGGTTTGGAACCTTCTGGCAGAGTCTGCACCCTCCCCCACAGCCCAGCGTCCTACCTCCCAGCAGGACCTGCCACTGCCTCTCCACCAGGCAAGGCAGCACCGAGAAAGTCCCAGCACCCACCTCCTCCTTGCTAAGGGCACAGAGGAAAGCAGAGGAGGTGCTCCAGTAACCAGGGCCAGGCTCAGGGCCAGCATGTCCCTGCGTCGCCGCACACGTGCTGCACCACCCTTGGGATGGGTGGTCCTCAGAGCAGGGGGCAGAAGCAGCAGACACTTGTGTCTTGTGCCACCACTAGTCCCCTGGGCAGCTCTGCCAGCCTGTTCCCTCCAACCCAGTGTGAAAAGTCAGCATTTGAACCAGCAGCAATCCAGACAACAATGTGGTGGCTGTTCTGCCAAACCTCTGGCAGCACCTCCCAAACACCCAGGGGGCTGTGGCTACTGACAGCACATGACTTAGGGAGATGCACACCTGAGCACAAGGTCATCACACCAACAGAATTCTGAGGTGACAGCGTGTTGTAAATTAAATTTGTTAGTCACTTAAGAGCAGTTATCATGCTAGTTTTACAAGGGCACAAGTGATACTATATTATGCAGTGTCACGGTGATGTAATGCTGAAATCAAAGTCATTACCACACAACTTTCACCCTGTCTGGCTCTTAACCCTAAGAATCTGTGACTGCATTACTGGAAAAAGAAGGGTACATTGACATTTCTCCACAAAGATGTACCTCAATATGTTCCTTGGTGATCAGCCAGGGTCGGTGAGCCAACATTTTGTTCAGTTCTCCTAAATTTTGCAGTTTTTGAGGTGCATTTTCCAGACCATTCAACCATTTAGGGTCTCCACCAACATGAAGGAAGTCATTCACATGGAGGTTCACAAGGTAAGAGCACTGATGTCGTGCTGCAGCCTAGAAAGAAAAACACAGTGTGATTGCAGAAAACAATTACAGAAAGTTAGTGCTTTATGACAAATACCGTAAGTCATCATTTCCTCAAAATATGCAAGAGTAAGACTTAAAGTGATCAAAGGCTAAAGTGAAAAGAAATTACTGAGATAACACATCATCCTGTTTTTGTTATTGTTCTCATAATATAAATATTCCTTGTTCATATAGGTTGCTGGCTACAGGTGCAACATGCCTATAGCAAGGGAGAAGTACAGGCGTGGATTGTATGTCCTGGCGCAAGTAATCCATACTGCATTGTACTCCCCAGTGGGAAGAAGCAAGGCTGCCTCTAGCAAAAATCAAAAGCAGGTTTTAGAGTGCATATTGCAACAGAGACTACAGACAGCTTTTCAGCAAAGACAGACCCAGTATCATAGAATCATAGAATTTTTGGGGCTGGAATGGACCTTATAGATCATCCAGTCCCAACCCCTGCCCTGGGCAAGGACACCTCCCAGCAGATCAGGTTGCTCAAGGCTTCATCCAACCTGGCTTTGAACACTGCCAGGGTTGGGGCATCCACAGCCTCCCTGGGCCACCTGTGCCAGCATCCCACCACCCTCACAGGAAAATCTTTTTCCTAATATCTAACTTATATTTTCCCTCTTTCAATTTGTACCCATTGCCCCTTGTCCTGTCACTGCAGCTCCTAACAGAGTCCCTCTCTGGCTTCCCTGTAGCCCCTTCAGATACTGGAAGGTTGCTATGAGGTCTCCACACAGCCTTCTCCAGGCTGGACAGAATCATTTGAATAAATATCATTTACTCATTTCACATAATTTACATCATTTTCCCCATCAAATTAAGACACAGCCCAAAATTTTAATTCAGCTTCAGCAAGCAAAGATCATTGAACTGGCAGACTGGAAACTGTCAAATAGACCAGTTCTGGCAGAAGACTCCCTTACAATTCAGAGGCTGGGAAACAGATGATGGGACAGACTACTGAGCTAGAGGGAGGTGTACTTGACAGGGCACACACAAAAACAAGCTTCCTTGAAAACAGTTACTGAGACACTAAGGAAACCAATAACAAACAACTATCTAATTTTTATAACAGATTTTTTTTCCCCTTTTTCTCACAGTCCTACTGAAACTATGAACATGAAGTGCTGGCCTGATGAAACAATCTGTAAATCCGACAAACAAACCTACTCTGCTTTTCCCCTTGGCTCCCAATGAAATGCCTTTCTGACTAGAAACTGCAAAACACAGTAATAACTGCTGTTGAACATGAGCAGAGGCTGTTGCTAAAGCGTCGGTTTCTGCTCGCATACCATTATCCCGATGTAGTGTCGGTAATGAAGCGGGAGTGGACCATCCATTTGCAGCAGATAGTGCTGAGTTTTTAGAAAGCTTTCAAGATACTGTGGGTGGAAAACCATCACCAAGGTAACGTTGTCCAGCCGGCCCAGCGTGGCAAAAGAATCTGCAAACAGCGTGTGCATCGCGGCGTCTTCGTTTCCCACCTGTATGGTCTGATGGAGCAGAAGGGATGGTTAGCAACACTGTCCAAGCACCACCAATAAAACAGGAAATAAAGATATTACCTCAGCACCCAGAGGCCCCAAGTGAAAGGAATTATATTATAAATCTATTAACGGCATTAAATCAGTGCACATAAGGCAAGGCACGTAAAATCCCTCTAATACCTCTCATTTAGGAGATCACAAGTGATTCTATCAGCAAAAGGAGATTTTTGGCTTTAGTCTCTCTCTTGTACGACACTGACTTCTCATTTTTAATTGTCTCACCTTCACTTTCTTGAATACCCCAGACTGATCTACCTTAGTTTATTATAACTAAAAGCTAAGTGAATAATCATTCTTACTAAGAAAAAAAAGGAAAAAAAGCAAAAAGAAAAGTTAGTTAAGATGATGAGAAATGAAAGGAAATCGAAACTTAAGGCTTTAAAATTCCTAGAAAACCACAGGCATATCACTAACTTACCCACTGCTCTGAATTCTCTTACCAGACAATCAAGAGAGAAGCACCAGAAATGCTCAGCCACAGCACTGCACCCTGAAGCAATCCCAGGGCAGGGGGGCAGGTTCCTTGTGGACCAGTAGGAAATTACATCCGGATGTTCACAAGGAAACAGTATTGGGTTTCTCTCATGCTAGATAGCAGTATAGGAGGGGTCATAACCAGCTCCCCAAGGCTCTCACTGTTCTGTACACTAGAACTGTGGCCAAAGTCTCTCCAGGACTGAATGTGATCACAACTGAGAATGTTTTAGAGCTCAGCAGCTGTCCTGAAACCAAACCTGGGTTACTACTAAAAAGATGTTCCTTAAAAGCATAAAGTTCACTATGTACTTGAAAACACTACCACACCTCCTTCTCGGGGATGAATCTGCTTGGTCCGTGTCCCAGTGGTCTAGGAATTCTTATTCCAAGTTCCTAGAAAAGAAAATTACAGCAACTCAGCATTTAGTTATAAACAGCTTTTTAGCTGTGGTTGCAAGAGAGAACAGAGTTCTCCCTCCAGAGCTGGGCTTGTTTAGGTACTTGTGGTACTCTTACACAGGCACTTCCACCAGTACCGTTTGTACAAATGCAAATCATTTTTTATACAAGTGCTTTATAATTAGCTGTACTTGTTTACAGTGCACAGCTCCACTGCAGCAACAGAAAACTCAACAAAGGCCCTGTCAGCGGAAGAAAACACACACAAGTTTATATGCACATACACACACAAACACACTACAGCCTGGGTCACAGAAAATTCTGCATAAAGCCTATTTTGGCAGGGTGTCCAGGACAAGGAGTTCAGAACACAGCGGCTGCTGTGTGGTTATGCCCCTGATACAAAACGAGCCTGCTGTGTGTGTGCACATCCGCACTTCGCCAGCACACAACACTCTGTGCATCTGTCAGGAAATGAAACAGCTGTAACCCTAATCAGATTTCTTTTTCCCAACCTCAAAGAGCACTTAAACTGCTGAAAGTACCTGATCTACATTTGCATCTGCTTTCTTTTCAAGATAGGATAAAAAGCTATTTACATTTGGAGGGAAGGAAGGAGGGAGGGAGGGGATTTTGCTCCATCAGAACAGCAGCAGCAAGGTCCTTCACACACTTCTGTGGATGTGTTGCCTTGCAGGCAAGAGGGAGGCTGGATACCCCCTGGCAGTTCACTACTTGCTCTCTGCCTCATCTAGATGAAGCTTTCTGACAAGCCTAAGGCACCCTGGGCCCTTTGTGCAGCCAAGGAGCAAATGTGTAAGACTTGGGTGCATTTGTGTCCTGCCCATTAAACCATTCCCTTTGGAAGGGTGGGAGGTTCAAGGGCACAGAGCAATGCTCAGAGAAGGCACAGAGGGTCCAGGGCCATGTACCACAGCAGGACGTGGCCTCACCCCACACACTCACGAGTTGCCACCTCCCCATGGCTGCAGAGGTTCTCTCCATGTGTGAGGCACTCGCTGCACATTACCTCTCCTGCGGGATCACTCCCCAGCAAGCACCACAGCTTCCCCAGGAAGGGTGGGAGCCCTGCAGGGCAGCTGATGGCACAGCACTCTCACAGATGGAGGGAGACCTGGGATTCAAGTTGAGGATGGAGCTGAGTGCTAAACACTAGGCTATATATAAAATCATAGTTTGGGCTCCTTGTCTGTTCCCTCTTTCAGAACATATCCATTGTCTCTGTTCCATAACCCAACCCACTCATTTTCTGACAATACCAACTTGATCCAGGTTCTCAAATGGGTTTAGATGAATTAAGACCATGTACTGAGCTGGTTCAGGGCATCTTCAGCTGGCTTAGGACTCCAGAGCAGATGAAGGCCCCAGGCGCTGCCTGCCAGACGCAGTTTTTAACTTGGCTAC